TAATTTTTTAAATTTTGAGACAGGTCTTGATAAATTGCTGAGTTGGCCTTGAGCTTGTAATCCTCCTGCCTCAGCCTACAGAGTAACTGGGATTGCAGGTGTATGCTACTATGATAGGCTTCAAAATTTTATTGATGCCTGTTATAATTTGAATCAGGAATCTCCCCCAGTTTCCCACATGTTTAAGGCTTGGTCCCCAGACAGTGGCATTATTTAAGGGCGATGAAATCTTTAGGAGGAGGGACCTTGTGAAAGGAAGTTAGGTCTTTGGAGGCAACTCTGAAAAGGAATATTAGGATCCCAGGATCCCAGCCTTTTCCTTAAAAAGCTTCCTGGCTATCACTATGTGGGCATCTTCCTTTGCTATGTGCTTCCTGCCATGATGTACTGCTTTGCCACAGGCCCAAAAGCAACTGAGCCAAGTGACAATGGACTGAGATCTTTGAAACTGTGAGCCAATATAAACCTTTCCTGTTTTTAAGTTGTCTATCTCAGGTATTTTGTCATAGAACTAGAAAGTTGATTAAGACAGCACCCATCCAGTGAGTTTATGCTTGTTCCCCTAAATCGGGGATTTATGACTTAACACAGAAGATGGTAGAAGTGATACTGTCACTTATGGGTCCCAGGACTTAAGAAACTGGCAATTTCTATACTTAGGATGCTTATTTTTGGAACCAAGTTATATACTATGAGGAAGCCCAAGCTACTTAATAGAAAGGAACTGACAGTCCTAGTTTGCCAGTTTAAGTGATCCATGTTGGAAGTAAAACCTCTAGCTTCAGTTGGGCTGTTCCAGCTGACACCTTGTAAAACAGAGATGAGCTGTCCTCATGAAGCCCCGCCCAAATTACAAATTCATAAGCAAAAGAAATAATCAATGTTTCAAACCATTAAGTTTTGGGGTGGTTACTTAGCAGTACCTACTATAGATTTGTGGCTAGGGTTAAAGTCACTGTTCTAGGATCAGGTTAGGCAGGAAAATGTAGAAATAAGATCAGAGAATACGGGGTATAGGTCAGTACATAAGCCAAAAAGGAGAATTAGGAACACAATTAAGAACACAAGAAGAATTAGGAACACAATTCAGGCCAGAATAGATTTCCAAATCTGGAATGGCAAATAGGGTGGTCTATTTGGGTAACAGACACTCATGCCCTGAGAGAACAGGTAACAAGAACCAGAAGCTTGGGTCAACAGTCTAGGTGTACAAAAAGGTAAAACTAGCCCCAAGAATCCTTGGTATCAGTTATGATGGAGTAGGAACAGAAACAATGTCATAGATATTGAGCTAAATTTTTTCAAGATTAGAGCTCCATCATCATTCATTAGGGCTACAATTGAGATTAGTGTTCAGATCAAAGATGGGATATAGCTCAGTTGGTAGAGTGCTTAACTTACATGCACAAATGTGGGAAGCCATTCTAACACGTGATTGAGCGACTCCCGTTAAGGGCCTGAGGCACTTTGGCAAAAGTCGAAGTTTTCTCGACCCTTTCCTGATGAGAGAGCCCATCCTTGTGTGGGTGTGCCTGACCACTGACCCCGGGGACCCAATCACTGACCCTGACCTTGGAGTGC